TGTAGTTGTCAACCAAATGAAGGAATTGTCATCAGTACAGGAGAATCCGCAGTGAGGATTCCATTGGTTATCAAAACAGTAGATGACTATGTGATTGATTCAGAAATACTCACAGAGCAAAGAATTAGATGCCAAAGTTGTATTGGTGTTTTTAGAGATTGTATTTTTAAATCACAAAATAAAGAAAGTGGAGTTGTGTTGGCGTTACCGTTAGAACCAGCATTACATGAGAGCAGTATAAATCATATTAAATCTCTAATAGTTGAATCACAATACTTGTGTTCTCCTCACAAAATTGCACTTTCCCCAAATGCATTAATTCTTGTTTACAACACATTTTATTCAACAATAAACGAGTTAGACCAAAATAACGAACTTCTTATTATCAAAGTGTGTTGTGATGTTATTGAAGGATTGGTTGAATTGAAGAAAAAAGGGATTGTATTCAAACAACTATGTCAGCACAATATTATTGTAGTATCAACTGATTTAAAACAAGTGTGTGGGAAACTAATTGGATGGGAATTACCATATCATCTATTTCCACCATCACTTCACCCTTGTTATCAAAGTTATTCGAAAGAATGTAAAGATGAAGGAAATGAAGATATAAAAGCATTTGGGAATGTTTTGAGTCAATTATTGGATAAATCAAATGAGAGAATTCATAAGATTTGTGAAGAGTGTATTGAATGCACTGATACAATCAAATTAGAAAATATAAAAGACAAATTAGTTTTGTATTTGAATCAAGTCCAACAAACAAGAACAAATCAAAACATAATTTATTCATAAATTTTAATAAAATTTATTTGAGAATGATTTTGATTTAAAAAAAAGTAGAACAAGATGATAAACAATAATGAGAAAATGGTTATGTATAACTGTACACATAATTTTTTAAATAACTATATGTTAATAACAATAAAATACATATCATAACTTAATTATATTAACATTGCCAAAAGGTAAATATTAATAACAAAAATTTTACAATTTAGTGAAGATATTTATTTCAAAAGGGTATAAGAAATAAATCATTGAACTTATCATAGACAATGATATTTTTGTGTTACATTTCATATAACTTAGAATTTGATATGAGTTTGAAGAAAATAAAACCAATATTAACTTTTTCTATTTTTATTTTTTCTATAAATAAATTGAATTAACTATAATAAAATGAATAACAAACTTTTATTCCAACAACTAGTTATTTAAATAATAATTTAATATCATTCACTGATAATATAGTGTTAATCCAGAAAACTTTAATGTTAATTATTTATACTGGTAGTATTTGAATAAATCACTAAATTATTATATACAATATATTATTATAAAAATTAACTTTAATTTATCTAATTTTATTATGACGTTTTATATATTCCTATTTTAATACTCTCTCAGAAAAATCTAAATTTTGATGTTTTATTTTTATAATTAGACTTTCTCAATCTTTAAACATTGATTTTTATTAAACATATATCCAAATATCTTGAGAATAATGTTATTTAAATAAAAAGTATCAAGTTGACAACTAGAACCAAGTACTGTCTTAAAAAAAACAATAGATTTACTAGTTTTTATATAACAATCTTAATTACACTTTTTATTATAACTTCTTCTTTTTCTAATAATAATGAATTCATTAGAGTTTATCAATGACCATCAATAACCAATCTATCAAAGTATTATATAGAGTGTATTGAGTGTCAAGTATTAAAGTAACTTTTTTTCACAATTGTCCCTTATTAAAATTTAAAGAAAATTAATAAGAAAAAATCAAACACAAATGAAATACAAATAACGAAGATTTTTTTTAATAAAAATTTTAAAAAATCAAAAAGTTGTTCTTCTTTTTTTTATTTTTATGAACAATAACTATCTTTTGTCAGATTCATTGACTTACTTTGAGTATCATTGTAATTGTTATATATCACAGAAAAAGAGTTTTACTGATAGAGAGATTTAAAGGATGATGAAAAGAAAAAAATCAAAAAAACCTAATGAAACCCTAGAAAGAAACCTAAAAATATAAAAAGGTCTAAAAAGGAATAAAATAAAGAGGAATGAGTGATCTTATCGATCTTGCTACTAAAAGTTATGAAGAATATATGACATTAGTTGACGAACAGGTTCATAAAAATTATCATGCCTGTACTAAAAAAATGAAAGAAATACAAAAATTAAGACTTATCTGTGAAAGAGCTAGATATGAAGCTATGAGTAAATTTAATGAAGAAGCTAGCAAAATTTACGGAAGAATGAATGAAATTATTACAGGAAATGCTCAACCAACAGAAGACGAATTGGAAGGATATATTAAGTCAGATGAACTTGTTGCACAAGAAGGATCACAATTTAATAAAGGAATTCCAGTATTTTGGTTCCAAGTACTTAAAAATTCAATGTTATTTGATTCAGCTAATGGGTCAGAAGCTGATATTTCAGTATTAATTCATTTAAAAAATATTAGAATTGAATACATGCCATTAGAAGATGTTAAAAATAAAGATGGAGAAGATACATTAAAATATCATTATAAGGTTCACTTTGATTTTGAACCAAATGAATATTTCACTAATGAAACAATTACTGTTAGTGTTCAATGCAAATTGTGTGAAGCTGAAGGTGAATTTGATGAACCTGCTGTTATTACTGAAACACCAATTGAATGGCATAAAGATAAAGATGTCAGATATAAATTGGTTAAAAGAAGAGGTGGTAAACGTGGGGGAAGAGGAAGACCAGCAGCTGCTGTTAGACAAAAAGTTGAGTCATTCTTTGATTTGTTTTATACTCCAGCATTACCAGAAAATCTTAATTTAGAAGAGATGGAAGAAGTTGATGAAGATGTAATTATTTGTCATACTAATTTCAAGATCTTTATGGAACTTATTAATGAAGTTTATCCAATGGCTTTGAGTTTCTTCGATGAAAGTATGGCTGAACCAGATGATGAAGATATGGATGACGAAGATATGGAAGATGGTTGTGGTGATGATTGTGACTGTGAAGATCATGATGATGAGGATGATGACGACGATGAAGAGGATAAACAACATGGTAATACATCAAATACAACTGCTCCACCTGTGCCACAAGAGTGCCCACAACAATAAAAAATTTGCTTTAAGATTAGAATTGATTGATTGGGATATTTTTTGGTTGTGGATAACATTTATTTTAATGGAAATAAAAAATACTTAAAAATAGAGTAATTCTAAAAATACAATATAACACGAAAAAGGAAAAGAAACTTTAAAGGGTAGTATGATGTCCACAAAACCAGTTGAAGTTACGAAGACAAAAGACACTCGTTCATCAAGAAGTGCATCAACAGACTTTTCATATCTATCAGGTAATGAAGGAAAAATAGATGAACAAAAATATAATCCTGATCCAAGATATTCTGAATTATTTGATTTGCCTGATAGTAATGATTGCATTACTTGGACAACTGAGGCAGGATGTGATTTTAAGATTATCCAAAAAGCAACCTTAGAAAAGTGTGTACAAACAATGATGACAACAGAATTTAATGATGGATATTTTCAAGAGTGCTTTGTATTGGCTTATAGATTAGTCACTACACCAGGGAAGTTATTAGAATTACTTGGAATATTATTTGATCCAACAATTCCAGAAGGAATGACATGGGAAAATTTTGTGAAAGATGTTATATCACCATTAAGATTAAAAGTTATGAACTTTGTAAGGATTTGGATAAAGAACGCTTGGAGAGATTTTGAAGGACAAACAGAGTTGATGGAAAAATTACAACAATTATTAGATCATTTTGAAGAATTTAATCCTAAAATGAGTAAAATCATCCAAAAACAAATTGAAATGAAAAGAAACCATCTTGACAAACAATTAAATGAAGAGGTAGATTTACCTTTACTTAAACCGATTATTTTAGAAAAAAATATTAAATTTTCTGGTGTTTTACAATTTCATTATAAAGAATTCTCAAGACAAATTAGTTTTCAACAAAACGAATTATTCAGAAAGATTCCTTACAATGAGTTTCTTGGAAATGGTTGGATGAAAAAAGATAAAGAAGTGTTGGCACCAAATATTATGGCTTTAGTACGTTCATCTCAAAAATTATTTGGCTTTGTTCAAAATGTTATTCTTACTGAAGAAAATGTAAAAATTAGAGCAGTTTTATTACATTATTTTATTCAAGTATCAGAAGAAATGAAAAAATTAAATAATTTTGAAGGAATGAAAGCAGTACTAAGTGCATTAGAATCATCCCCAATTTATCGATTAAAAGATACATGGGATGGAATATTACCAGAAGATAAAGAAACTGAGTCTAATTTAAATAAATTATGTGACCAAGAAAAAAATTTTAGTAAATTAAGAGAAATGATGAAAATTGCAGTTCCACCTTGTTTACCATTTTTAGGTTCAACAATGAGTGATTTAGTATTTACAAGTGATGGAAATAAACAAGGAGATAAGTTAATGATTAACTGGTTCAAAATACGAAGCATCGGTAATTTAGTTAAGGAAATAATGGTAAAACAAGCAGTAGGATATCCAATTAAAAAAGATAATGAAATAATGCAGTTTTATAATAACTACAAAATAGAAGAAGACCAAGATAAGTTATATGATATTTCTATTTCACTTGAAACAAAAAGAGGAGAAATAAATAATGAACTTGAAAAGAAGATTGCAAAATTGAAAAAAGAGGGAAATACTAAAATCAAGAAATATATAAAATATCTCTCAAAATAAAAAAGAGAAAAAAATATTTTTTAAAGTAATTTAAAATGATTAAAATGTGTTATTCAAATTTAGTATATTAAAAAATATGAAACAATTTGAGGAATTTTAAAGAGAACTAATAATAAAATTGAGATTTTAATTTAATAAAATAGTAAATTAAACTATATAAGGAAATTGAGGAAAGAGGATGAAAATAGAAATGAAAAAGACAGGGATATATAAACGCATAAAATAATCACAAATTAATCAAATAAATGAGTTCAACACAAGTTGTCAGAGATATTTTACAAGTAGCTAAAGGAATGTTACCTCCAAGTCAACAATCTACACAAAATATAAGAAGTATAGAGGAAATGGCACGTAGTCTTGTTGCTCAAAAAACTCATAATATTCCAAGAGAAAAGACAGAAGAAGAAAAAGAAAAAGAAAGAGAGGCTGAACAATTTAAAAAGCATGTAGAAGAAGTATTAAGACAAGAAAAAGAAATGATGCTTAAAGCAACTGAAATTTCAAATCAAAGAAGTACTTTCTTTGAAAAATATGAAGATTGTGTTCGTACTACTAAATCTAATAAGAAACCAGAAATTGTTATTGTTGGAACTCAAGGGTCTGGTAAATCAGAATTAGTTGAAGGTATTGTTGGAATGCCTATTGAATATATTAATACTTCTATTGCAACAACTGTTCCTATAGTTATAGAAACTGTTTACAAACGTGGGGTAGAAGATAAATGCTTTTTCTTTATGGATAATGAATGGAAAGAAGTCATAATTGATGAGGTTCCTAAATTAATAGAAAAAAGATGCTATGAAAATAGATCAATTGGATTTGAAGAAGTACTTATAAAAATAGAATCTCAAAATGTTATTCCTTTAAAAATAGTTGATCTTCCAGGTTTTGTTGAAGAACAAAATGAAACTCAAACAAAAGTAGAGAAAGTATGGGAGAAGTATGTAACAGAAGAAGAAGGAAAGTTTATTCTTTGTGTTGAAAAATCAACAGAAGAACGTGGAGAAAACGCTTGCGAAAGTTGGGTCATAGATAAAAAGAAAGTCCACAAAAATGTTGTAATAGTACAAAGTAAATTTGATAATAGAATTACTCAGGTTAAAGACAAAGAAGAGATGAAAACATATCTTGATGGTGAAACAGAAAACTGTAAATATTTCTATGTCTCTTTCTTAAATAAAAGAGGACTAACTATCAAAGGATTTCAGGAATCTCTTCAAGAAAAACAAATAGATGACTTAAGAAGACTAGTAACTATGGGGATTAATGAACAATATTTCAAGAAGATTGGAATCTGGAGATTAAATTCTTTTCTTAAGGAGGAAGTTATTTATGGATATATGAAAGGGATTAATGAAATGACCAATTGTTTAAAAAAGCAGATTGAAGAAACCGATCAAGGAATACATCGTTTAGAAGAAGAAAAAGAGAGCAGTGATGTAGATGAACTTAAAAGAGGATTAAATAATTCAGTTAGTAGTCTTGGAAATTTAATTGTGCAACTTATCACTGGAGAATGTACTATAAGCCCAAAAGAGTATGGAGAGACAATGGAAGAAGAAAGAGCTCAAGTCAAATGTGAAAAATGGCCTGGAGTTGGATCCGAGATTAATATTGTTGGTAGTGGAATGAAATTGTATGGAGGTGCTCAATATGAAAGATTGTTAAGAGAAACAGAAGCAGCTTTACTAACAATGGAATTACCAGTACCAACTGCTGATGAAGTCTGTGTTGCTATGGGTATTCATGCTATTGGAGGAATGTTGAATGGTGGAGAGAGAGTTATTAGTGTTGTTATTAAAACAAAAGCATCACGTGCATTACTTCCTATTATCTCAATATTGATACAAAGAATTACACATGTTTTTGAGAGATTGTTTAATGTTGCACTTGATGTAATAGAAAAAGTGTTTGGAGAAAAGAGTTTATTACAAAATGGTGAATTGAGTAATGCTCTAAAAGAGGTTTATATTAATTTTGCTAAAGAAAAGTTACGGTATTGTGAAAAAATGTTGAAGGATGATTTAAATTCGTTTGTGAGTGTTGTTGATTGGAGTATGTTATCAAGCACAACAACAGCCATAGAAGAAGAGATTGATGAAGAAAAAACACAAGACGAAGAAGAGCTAAAACCAGTTGATCATAACCAAAAAATTAAAGAACGAGTTCAGAAAATGATGGAAGAACGTGATAAAAATGAGGTAAAACTACTTCAAGAGTTAAGAAATATCAATGGAGCAGATTCTCACTCATCCATTTGTAAAATTTGTCAACGGGTGTTTGGAGTTATTCGAGATAGTTTTTGGAGAAATGCACGAAGTAAATTAAATGCATATTTCCTTCAACCCATGATTGGGGAATTAAAAGAAGAATTGTCAAGACAAATTCCTACATTAGGAAACATTTTGACTGTACACAAAAAAAGTAGTGAAGAAGTTGAGGATGAAATTAATAAATTAAATAAACAAAAGAAACAATTGTGTGAAGATTATGAAGGAGTTGTGGAGGTCAAAAATTTATTGTTGTCAATTCAGTCAAAAAATCCATCTAAATCACCTAACTTTGAAAGTCCAATGAAAAAAAGAGTATTGTTTTAATTGATAGTTTTTTGATAATAAAAACAATTACAATTATAATAAAAAGAAAAAAGAACTTTATTATTTTAGTATTATTGTATAATAAAAAAGAAATGGGTTTTAACTCATTAGAATGTTTTCAATTGAAATTGATTTGTGGAAATATTCATAAAGAAGAGGTGATTAAAAAGTTGGTCTTTGTCAGTAAGAAATGTGCATTGGCTGTTGCCACATTAAGATTTAATCCTATTCGAAAGACAGAGATATTTAACGGACTTCAAGTACAACGGTTGTATAGTGTTGAAGATGTTATTGATCCACGAGTTAAAGAGATAGAAGTTTTGTGTGATGTGTCTTATGGGGCAATGGAATCTGTGAAAGCAATGGTTATTAAGAAATGGGGTGAGGAGAATAAGAAGAAGGAACAAATAAATGTACGTTTCAACCGAATTGTTTTAACACCTGAAGATGCTAAGAAGATTAATGAAGATGAGGAAGGGATCAAAATACCGATTGAAGTCAATACGATATCTGATGGATGTTTAAGATTATTTACTGGAAAAGAAAAGATGATAATAGGAAATAGTATGGAGGCAGAATCTATTATGATGCTTGTAGATGTTGGAGTTAAGAAAATTCATATTATAGGAGAATGGAAAGGGATTTTAGATGAACGAGCTATGGGAATTGTTATAGGAAATATTAAGAAATGGAAATTTAATTGTAAAGACGCTGAAGAATGGAAAACTAAAACAATTAATGAAGTTGGAATGACTGGATTAAATAAAATTTATATAAAAGATGGTGTAAATTATATTGAAGAAAATGCATTTCATTTACAAACAAATTTAATGGAAATAGAACTTCCAAAAAGTGTTGTTTTTATTGGACAAGGTGCACTTCCTGAAAATCTTATTTCATTAGAATTTAGTCAAAGTTTAGTTGTAGAAAGGGCTGCACTTTGGGTATCAGAAAAAGTAAACAAGTGTCATGGAAAGTGTGAAGAAATAATTTTTACTAAAGAAGACAAAAGAAGATGGATAGAAATGAATAAAGGAAATAAATGTATTTCTATTCCTTCACAAATTTCATTTATTGGAAAAGACTGTTTTAAAGGAAATAAAGAATTAACTGAAATTCATTTTGATAAAGAAATTCATTGTTTTGAAGAAGGATGTTTTGAAGGTAATCAAATGAGTTTATGTCTTAAAAACGTTGAATTTATTGATAAAATAGCATTTAAAAATGCCTCAATTAAAAGTATTTCATTAAATCAAAAATGTAGTATTGAATTAAGTGCATTTGAAAATGCTTGTATTGATGAAATTATAATGAGTTCAGATCAAGTGATGTTATTAATTCCAAAGTTATTAAGAGCTCAAAAGATAAATAAAATATTGTTTAATAATCTAAATAGTTCATCTTTAACAAATAAAGAATTTAAAGAACAAGTATGTTATAGAATTGGTGAAATGATTAGACGAGGTGGAATTAAATGTACTAACGTTGTATTAGAACAAGATGACCTTATTGAATATGCAGAACATCATCCATTTGATTGTGATATGACTAAAGAATTAAATGTAACATATATTGAATTTAAAAAGGTAACTTTACCTTATTCAATTAATGCTTTAGGAAGAAGAGTTTTCTCTGATTGTTGTTCATTAACATCAATTGAATTTCATTCTAAAATGGTTTCTATGGAAAAAAGGTGTTTAGAACATTGTGTCTCATTAAAGTCATTAGTTATTCCAAGTTCAGTTACAAATATTGAGAATAAGTGTTTTGCTCAATGTTCACAATTATCAAAAATTGTTCTTCCACCACTAAAAGTATTACCAAAAGGGTTATTCTATAATTGTGGATTTAAAGAGTTTGATGTTCCTAAAGGAGTGTCTGCAATTGGAAATGATTGTTTTGCAGAATGTTATTCATTAACTAAAGTTAATTTACCAGATGGTATTATTTCAATTGGAAAACATGCCTTTGAGAATTGTATTAAATTAAAGAGTGTAAACATCCCTTCTACAATAAAAGAATTTGGAAAAGGATGTTTTGTTAATTGTTCGTTAGCGGTAAATACTTTATATGTTCCTGAAGAAGCATGGACTAAAAAAGAAAAATTCTAAAAAAAAAAAAGAAAAAATAAAAATGTATTAATTGAATCTAATAGTTTATTTAATTTGTTTTAATTTTATTTTTGACAATTGAATATTTGGTAGTGATTTAATCATTGTTGAATGAATAAACATAATATTTTGTTGAGGGCGTATAATCCATGGAAATAATAAACAAACTACTTTATTTTTTCCACAGTCTAAAAGTTCATTATTAGTATAATACTTTTTATCATAAGTAACTTGATAACATGCATCACAGAGTCTTCTTAATGGAATCTTTCTTCTTCCAGCTTCTTGTTCTACTTTTTTTCTGTAATTAGAATAAATTACAAGTAATGTTTGATTAATTTCTTTTTCTTCTTTTTCCCATTCTAAACGATCAACATTTCCTTTTTTAAAAATTCCTCCAATAATTAATTGTAATGGTTCAGAACCTCTAAGAATTCGTTGTGGTACTGATTTCTTTAAAAACCAATTAATTTCATTATTAAATTCATTTCTCGTTTTTCGAGCAAATGGAATAACATCAGAAAGAATAGAATTTGATACAAATTCACTATTATAATGAATAGTATTTACTAATTCAATTAGTTCAGTATAAAAAGTATCCATAATAATTGGAATTTGTTCATTGAAAAATGATTTTAATACTAATAATATTGATTTATTTGAACTATTTATTTTTGATACTTGTTCTACTAATTCATTTATTTCACCTCCATCAACTTCAGCTCCTGTTTTTGGAGCATCAACAGTTATAGAAATGAGTTGTGAAAGAGATTTAGTAACTTCAGCACACATTCCAATATTCATACAAGACTCTTTATGAGAAACAGAAATCCTTGATAAAACAAATTTAGAATATAGTTGTGATAAAAAGGCTCTTTTCATATCAGTAAATTCTAAAAATTTTTCAAGATGTACTTTTTCTGAATCATATATTGCAGGTGGATGAGAATTTATTTCTGGTTTTGGTAAAAATAAAGGATTCCAAATTATAAGATATTCATCACCATCTAAATCTCCACCTGATAATTTATTTGGATCTGGACGATTTCCTTTTGATGAGAATACAATCACATCTCTTAAATAAGTTAATCTTTCATATCCTTTCTTTTTTTCTAAATTTATTTTATCTACAACATTGTTTAATAAAACAAAATCTCCTGGGTGTGTTGCTGGGAATTTAACTACTAATAGTCTTGATGATGGAATTGTTATGGTTGGTGAGGTCACTTGAATAAATACTTCTCCTTCTTCTAATAACCCAGATTCATCCATTACTCCCATTAGAAAAGCACTGTTATCTATATCAAATTTAATAAAATCTGTTTTTTCACTAAGTAAAGACATTCTTAAAACTAATGAAGTTGCTCTAATAAAAGGTTCTTCATATATTTTTTGATTACCATTACTTGCCATTATCATTTTTAAAGCAACTTCAATAACAGGATTATTTGTAAATCTTTGAAATAATGAAATAATTTCTCTATTTGGTGTTACACTAAAATATTTTTTTAAATATTGTTTTGCTGAAGAAATAAAATTACTTGGAGGAATTTGAAGATATTCTAAACCAAGTGCTAATTGTTCATTCATTCTACCAGACCGAAATTGTGGAATTTGAATAACTCTTAATTTTTGAATAGTTTTAGGAAGAGCTTCAATTTTAATTTGAGATGGTCTAAAATAAATAGTCTCTGTCATATCAAGTCTATCAACAGTTAATACTCCTTTTACCCCAGCAAAACGAATTTGAAATGCATATGGCTCATCAGATTTAATAAAAAGATTACTATTTCGTTTATACTCATTTAAAACTTTTTTTGCTAATGGATACCCAATTCTACCTACACCATCTGAAAATGTATATCCACTCTCATTTGTTATATCGTCAATAACTTTGATCTGTTGTGGATAAATACCTACTGTTGCAATAGAATCTGATCCAAATAACCCTGTTCTCATTAATAAAATACCTGCATTCTTAATTTTTGGGCTTTTTAGATCAATACCAAGACTTTGATATGCAGCCATAGTTGTTTTGCCGTCTTGATTGTCAATAAACCAACACGCACCAGACCTACTTTGAGATGGGTTTGAAAGAAGAAATTGAAAATACCTTTTTTGGAAGAAGGATTTATACCCTTTGATCATATAAAAACACATTAAATCTGTCTCTAATCGTTCCATAACTTGCATTCTTTTTTCATTATTTAAAAATTTCATTCTAAGCATTTTAACTCTAAATTCTGGTGAAAAATCTTCAAGGATTGCATTACTTTCATTATATCCATAACCAAGTCGAATAAGAGAAGAATTAACTTCCATTTTTAGTACTAGTTCTTCATCTTTCCATTTCTTTGTTGTTCCATTATAATCAATTTGACATTTTTCAATAACTTGTTCAAGTGAAAACACCCTTAAATAATCCATACTTTGTGCTTTCATTGTTGCTTGTTTTTTAAAGAATAATAAAACATCTTTTGTAAATTGACAAAGAGATTTAATAATCTCCTTTGTAATCTGTGATGGAATGATAATCCCTTGAAGATATAATCCTTCTAATTGAAAAAGTACTGCTGTTTCTTGTTGGCTTGGGTATTCAATAATAATTTTTGGTTGAAGGTCAATACTAGAGTCAACAATGTAAGGAATATTAATTGTTAAGCGTTCAAAATGAGTTATTCCTTGTTTATTATTTTGAAGAATTTGAATAACTTTATCACTATATTCTGGTAATGAGAAATAAATAGAGTGACATCTGTTTATTAACTTTGTTGGTGTAAAATCTAAAATTTGAGTTTCTTGAAATGACGATGATGGGATATGAATGTGTAATGGGTCTTTGATAATGAGGATAAATGAATTTTTATCATTTGGAGAAATGATGATTCTATGAAGAGAAGAAATTAAGAATCTATACTATATCTAATTAATATATTAAATATCTAGGTAAACTGTTTAGTCATATAATTAAACAAACAACATATTCCATTGTATGAATATCAAAAATATTATGGTCAATCCTAATATAACATTCTGTGAATTGTTTCTCAACTGCAAAAGTTACCGGATCAACAAATGTACCTAACCCAATATCTCCAATAAAATCAATGCATTGAGAAATCTTTTCAACTTGTTTTATGTTATTATTTTTTTGTTTTTTTTTATGATAATAATCAAATTTATCCATCAATAAATTAGTTTTGTAGTTCAATTTTTTTTTGATTTAATTATTTAATTTTAAGATATTATCATATCAATTTTCATTATAACAAATTAACATGTGATTTTAAGTTTTATAAATGATTATTAAAAATCCTATTTATTCGTTAAATCCTTAAAGACGTATAATAGTGGCGTTTTATTTAACTGTTGTTGATTTTTCAGAATAAAAAGACTAGAGATAAAGAATTTACTCAAAAACTATAACTAAAATAAATTCAATAAGATAAATTGAATTTGTTAGTATAATTATCAACAGCATTTTCAATAAAAAGGATTAAAGAACCAGAAATTCCTGAAGATGCAAATAATACTCCAAAAACTATCATAATGATACTAGAAACTTTTGTGCTTTTATTTTTTGAAACAAATAATGCCATTGAAGCAGGTAAGAAATGAACAAAATAACTTCCAGAAATACTACCATTTAATGATATTTGAATAGTACATTGCCAGAAAAAAGAAGACGATAATCCAATCAGAGAAAATATGAACATTGAAAGGATCCATCTTCTACGTTTACTTGGTTGCCAAGAGGTAAAATAAAATGATTCAATATCTTCATAGATAGTGACAAAGTAAGAAAGACTTTGAAGTAAGAAAATGATGATTAGAAGTATATTTAAGATAACTGCAAGTGAGTACATTGGAAGGTTTGATTGGTTTATAATAAGATAAGAAGAAAATGGCATACTTGTTGTCGATGGACCTAAAGAGAGACCTATACAAACTCCATAAACAATTGCAAAAAATATAACAATTATATAAGATAATATTACTGCTAATGGTGATTCACTAGGTTCATTAATCTTTTGTTTGAAAGGAGCAAATATACATATAAGCATTGAATATGAAGGAAAAATATGGTGGTGTCCAACATCCCTCCAAATATTATCAACAACATTGGTATTTGCTGCTATACCATTTATATATAATGAACCTAATGAATAGACAAAACCTAAGAAAAAAAGAAATGGTAAAATATAACAAGAATATACACTGACTAGTGTTAAGAGTTTAGAATAAGAGAAAAGATAAAATAATGGAGTAAGTAAGGTTATTACTAAAGATTTAATAATTGAATTTCCTTTCCACCATTGAGAGTGATCTGAATGTGTCATTGTCATTACTAAAGATTCTATTGAAGAGGAAACAATCGTTAAGATAATTCCCAACAAGAATATATTATAAAGTATCCTCATTGTTCTTGTTATTGATAACACTGTTCTTCCACCATTATGTTGAGAAAGGTCAGTAATTGTATATAATGCAGAGTTTTGCTGTATTACACGATATAGATATAAAGATATAGTAGAAATAATACCACTCAATAAAACTAAAATTGGATAAAATATCCCTGTTGATATAAACAAAAAAGGAAGAATAGTAAATTCAGGTCCCATTAAGGTTTGAATAGTCTGAAGTAATGTTGTAATAGTAATTGGTATTTCCATTCAACCCAAAACTATAAAATAAATAACAGTTTTTTGTTTTTCTCTTTTTTGTTTAATAATTTTTTAATTTTTGTTTTATTTTTAAGATTCTTTGATTTAAAATTTCTATTACTACACTATCTATGAGAAGATACTAATTCTTTATTCTAAATAGAATTCTTCAAAAAAAGTATACTCTTAATGTCACTTATCTTATTCAAATATAATTAGTAAAAAAAGAACATAATTTGAATCTTAATTGGTTATTATTCAAATAGTTAGAAAATTGTTTAACAAGAATATAAAAATAAACGAAATCCTAATTAAAGTGTTTTGAATATTTAATCATTTGAGTGTTTCAAAATTAAAAAGTGAATCGAGTAAATGAGTTTATCCTCTATTTTGACATTGTTAATAGTATTTCCTTTATCATTTAGTAACCAATAACGGTAGAAATATAAATAGAGGAGGGTTAGTTGTTTTAATTAACAACTCCTATCGTAGTTCCAAAGTAAATTTGGGAATTATAATTCTATTTTTAGTACTTTTTTAGAATAATCCACTTTCAGATAAATCAAATCTTACTTCAAAATTCTTCCATTTGATGGAATCACCAGAGAAGGCTTTAGAGATGTATTCCCAAAAGAATTTTTCAAAAGACATTACAATAAGTGATAGCCTTTCTTCTATTTCTCGTAGAAAACTAGAATTAATTAAAGCCTCAAGAACAAATAGAGAAAAAAAGAGTTTCCAACAATTACTTTGTATTGGATTACTTTCACAACACGTATCTTTAGTTATAAAATTACCCATTAAGAAGTCACATGTTACAATGGAATTTATTAAAGTCAAAAATATTCATTTCAAAAATGGAGAAGACCTTGAGATAGAAAACTTTATCATTAAAAGGTGTAATGAAATTTATAATTATGATATTGCAAATGGAATTCCATTAAAAACAGCTCAAAGAAGACTTGAAGTAAATAAAAAGATAGAGACTATCCACTTTCTTCAAGACATTCTTTTAGATTATGGGTACTTCTTTACTTTGGCCACTGAAAAAGGAAAGAAATCAACAAATAAACTTAATTATATTACTGAAGTTTTCAAAAATGGGAAATGTATTCTTTCAAAAGATCAATTACTGCCATATATTAATTCATTAAGATCCACAGTTAAATCAAAAGTAATGAACCATCATGGGTACTTCAAAGTTGAATCCCCACTCAATCCAAATAATGCTGAATAAATTATATGTTTTTTTATTTGTTTCTTTGACAACAAAAAATTTTTTGATATTATTCTTAATTGAGAATTTTTAATATCTTGGTCATTTAATTAAATACTATAATTTTGTGCCAAAACTCAAACTCTAACAGTATATAAGTGAGTCCACTTTAATTTAAAAAAAAAGCAATGCAAAAGATTGCAAGTCAACTTTTTTTTGTGAGGGGATTAAAAATGATTAACAAAAATTCCAAAGAATAAAATTCAAAAACACTAACAAAGAAAACAATAATTACTATAAGTAGACTAAAGAGATTTTGTGTATTAGAAGAGGTATTTTTCCAAAGAAAACTAAGAACAATCCAAGTCTTCTTTTGATTGTATGAAAAAACAAAAAAAAAGAATAGAAAAAATATAAAAACTAAAAAAACAAATATAAAGCAACCATGAAGAAATTAGATAAATATTCAATTATGATTGTGTCTAAATATCTTGAAAATATTCAAGACTTTCTTAACATTATTTTAGTTTGCAAAGCATACTCTCAAACACTGGATAAATTCCATTATAATCCTATTCCTATCACTACACAAACAATTAAATTATTTCAAAATATAGAAACACAATTTGTTTATTCCCATTCTGATTTATTGTTACCAACAGTTTCTCAATATGAAGTATGGTATCCTGTATCAATTTGTGAAGCACTAAAATATAAAAATACAATAAAAAAGTACAAAAATATTGAAATTTCTTCTATTGATACTCCTTTTGAAACTTCAGAATTTCAAAAATATATTTATAGCATAGGAGATAATGCATTTTGTAGACAACCAATTACGTCATTTAATTTTCCTTCAAAACTTACAAAATTAGGTGAGTCATCATTTTCTCATTGTAGTAATTTATTGTCTGTTGAACTTCCACCTTTTATTAAGTTAATAAAGTCTCATTGTTTTAGTAATTGTTCATGTCTTCAAACTGCTATTCTTTCTGATAATTTGACATCTCTTCCAAATAGTTGTTTTCAAGAATGTAGGTGTTTATCAATTCTTCACCTTCCTTCAGTCTTAACATCAATAGGTGATCTTTGTTTCTTTCAATGCAACCGAATTACTTCTATTAAATTACCTCAAACTCTTAAAGTATTATCAAAACGTTCTTTTGGATGCTGTAGAGGGTTAGAACATATCGAATTTCCAGATACTCTTGATATTATTGGAGAAGAATGTTTTTGTTTTTGTAATGGCCTCACTGAAATACAGCTTCCTTCTCAACTTAAAACTCTAGCCAAAGGAGCTTTCACTAATTGTAATAGTATTAAACAAATTATTATCCCATTGTCAGTAACGAAAATCCCAGGGTGTTGTTTCTATCAATGTGCTTCTTTATCTTCAATTCAATTCCCATCTTTATTACGGTCAATTGGCATAGACGCATTTTCTGATTGTTCAAGATTAACTTCAGTACTTTTTCCAAATAGTCTCACAACCATTGCATCTTCCTCATTTACTCGTTGTTTCATTCTAAAAAATATTAGTTTTTCATCAAATCTTCAAACAATCCATTCAAATGCATTTTCTGGATGTTCTCAACTAACTTCTTTGGTATTCCCATCAAATCTTCATTGTATTAGACCAAAAGCCTTTAAAGATTGCATAAATCTCCAACGAATTAGTTTCTCAAAAACCCCTCTTACTATTGGAGAATATGCGTTTAGTCATTGTACATCACTGACTTATGTTAAAGGATTAACAGAGAAATGCCTTATTTCTTCAAATGCTTTTGAACATGTACCAATAAAAGTTCAGTCAACAGGATGTATAATAAGTTGATGTTATTTCAAATTATTTTAAGACTTCTCTTCATTTACAAAGAATTCAAATACTAATGTGTTTCATTGGTTTATTTTTTTAAAACATAATTAACTTTCTTCTTGTTGAAGGATTTTCAACTAAAAAAATAAATATCAATTCTTAAAAAAAAAGAAAAAATACCTAAAATAAAATGAACTTTTGTTTTATTTTAGTTTTTTCATTCTTAATCAACAACAACATCGTTGACATTTTCTTCACCATCTACCTTAGAATAACCGTTATCAACTTCTCCACTACAGAAAGTAACTATTGCAATGAATATAATAAGAAGAATTGTTAGAAGAAGATAAACACCTCCAGAAATGAAATTTTGAAGTGAAGCACCACGAACTTTTTGAGTAGCATTATAACAAGTAAGTTGTTGTTGATATCCAACAGCTGAATCACATGGTGGGAAATCACGAGAAGTTTTCCATCCACAACATTGGAAAGCATTTTCATATTGTGTTAAATGAGAACTCATTGTACTGTCTGATGCAGTTAATAAGAAGAAATATGAATATCCATATAAACCCATCATTCCAAGAGCAGTTAAACCTAATAAAATATAAATAATTATTGTGATGAACCTTAACCATCTCTGTTCAATAAAAACAACTAAAATCGAAATTATTCCAACAAAAGCAGCAATACCTCCACATGCCATCATTTCAATTTGATAAGTCTTTTTTGAATACATATAAAGATGATTACTTGATTTAATATTCTTTAATTCTGGCATATTATGTACTGGTCCAATATATATTAACACAAATAAAGCAGCTCCACTTAACTATTTTACACTATTAATATCTTTTTATCTTTTTTTACAATAATAACGTACAAACAACAAGAATAATCCCAGTTATTAATAAGAATAACTTAGATAATGAAAACATCTAATATAATTATTCATTTTTAGTTCTTTTATTTTTAATTCTTTTTCTTTCAAATAAGGTTTTAATATTTTTATTCTTTTCTATTGAACAACTACGAAATAACTCTAAATCTCTAAAGTTGTTTTTGTTTATTTAAAAAACTGTAAACTCTTTAAAAAAATTTCATCAAGAAAAAGAAATTTGAATAAGAATTATTTTGAATTAATTAATGGTGGAATGTCAGTAGGTTGAACAACTATTTGTGATGGAATTAATTCTTTTTTTTCTTCTTCATCACCAAGATCTCTCTTTTTATTTTCTTTTGCAAGTTCTGAGTAATGAGAACGTTCGTCTTCACTTAGTGCTTTCCATTTATCACTTAACATAGTCATAACTTCATTTCCAGAAACACCTTCTTGTTTAAGTTCTTCTCGATGTTCTTTACAAAACAATAAATACTAATTTATTAAATAATTTTTAATTTTATTTCATAATACTTTAAAATAAATGATTAAACAAACAGGATGCCATTCTTCTTTTCTTTTCATTCCGTCATTCTTTTTCTTCTTAATTGAATACCCTTCTTCTCCTAATAATACATTTTCAATTATCGCTGTTTTAAAATATGTTTGAATAACATCTTCTTGTTCGCTTTCCCATAATTCTAATGCTCTTTCTTCTGCAATTTTCATTGTTAATGTTGGATTTTCTCTGATAAGTTCTCTTCCCTTCCATTTCATATAAATTCCTTTTGCTAAGTCTGTTAGCTCTCCTTCTCTACGTTCATTCTTTTCTTTCACTGTAATCTTCTTCCGTTTCTTCTCTTCAAATGGTTTTGGTAATTTTGGTGATTGCATCTCTTCTTTATTTTCCCGTTGAGTTGCGTAGGTTTCCTAGAACTCCCATTCCATCTTAAAAAACCCTAAATTTCCGGGATTCTCATTTATCTTTTTTAAAAATTTTTTTTGTATATATAACATATAATAATTATAATTATTATTATAGTTTAATTTACTAGAGTTATTTTTTATTTAAAAGAGAATTAAAAAAGAAAAATGTTGAATATTGGAATACATTTCATTGATGAAGTTAGAAGAGTGAATTGTAATGTATTACCAGTAATGTATTCTGACATTTTTTATAATAAAATTAAAAAGGAAGATTCAATAGTTATTAAAAGTTTGAATTTAATTTTTAAAAATTGAGTAATTGAAAAAGTATTAATAAAAGAAGTTAGTGAAGAAAATAAAACCATAGGAGGTATTATTGGGATGAAAGAAAAAGACAAGTATATTTTAATGACGTTAGCAGTATACACTAAGTTTCAAGGAAAAGGATATGGGAGTAAACTTGTTGAGTGTTTTATTCAAAAGGTTAAAGAAAAAGGTATAAGAAAGATTGAAGTTCAGGTTCAGATTGATAATAAAAATGCAATTGAGTTTTATACTAAATTTGGATTCAGAAAGATAAAAATTATTCCAAGAGCTTATCCTCGATTACCCCATCCAAACGGATATCTTTATGAATTAATAATAAATACAAAGTAAAAATTAAAAAGTTAATAATTAATAAGTTTCATATTCAAACATTAATAAACAATCAAATTAACTTTTTAATATTACATCAAATAACTTTATTTATGAAAAAGAATTAAAAATAATTCATTTTAAAATATTTTTGTCATTAATGAAAAGAATTTATTGAAATAAAAGATTTAATACAGTAATGGAAACTATTATTTAATTGATTATTTCATGAGTTTTATTAGTTCATTATTACTTATTTTTATAATAATAGTATAAATATAAGAACTACAACAAAAATAGAAGTTAATTACTTGTTTTGTTACCATTCTAAACTATTATTTGTTTATAATCAGAATAATTACGATTTTTTATATTAAATTTTTTAAAAATCATTTTTTTGATGTGATTGTGTAAATTAATGTTAGAATAAAAATATATGCAATAATATTTATTAGCTTATTAACATAACCACCTACATTCTTTTTTGTTCTTGTCGTATAATAGTATTATAATTGGTTTGTACAATTACCAGTGTCTAAATAATTAGATAAACAAATTAATAAGTTATCTATTAAAATGAATGGAGAATAAAAACAAGTATAGTTAAATCATATATTATATTGATGATTTAAAGATAATAACAAACATCATCAATGAAATTGAAAAAAAAACAAACAAATTAACAAAAGAAATATTTAATAGAATATGATTAAAAATAAATATAGAAAAGAGTGTGATAATGAATAATATCAATGGCCAAATAAATGGAGAATTAGCTGAATTACCAAGAGTAACTAATGATAACCCTTATAAATATCTTGGTATTGAAATAAGAGATAAAATAAATATTAATAAGTATTATACAAGAATATTAAATGATGTATCTTCTATTCTATCATCATTAAATATTATGAAATATAATAGCCTCAATACAATAAGAAATATTAATAATGATATAATCTCAAAATTAAGATATTGATTCTGTATTATCAAATGGAAACTTGTTGACTTTGAGAATATAGATAAACAAATAATAAATTCATTGATACAACTCCAATTATATAATAAAAACATCAATACAAGCAGCTTATATATTACATTGGAAGAAAACACATAAAAGTTCTAAAGAATTAATTGAATTATTATTAATTTTATTTGAATTACAATAACTTCTATTGAAAAGTATAACTTTTTTTATTTATAAAAGAAATTAGTGCCATCGAATGTCAACTGTAATGGAGATTTATATGGAATTCCAAACTCTGTGACAAAAGAGGCATTTGCATAGATTGTGTTTTCTATAGTTCTTATTCCATAACAATTATGACAATGACCAAACACAACCAATTTAGGATGAAAAGACTTAACAAAAGAGTTTATCTTATAACTTCCACCATTAAAAGTTTTCCAGTTAAATGTCCAATGATCTACAACCATAGTATCCATTATGCCATAAGGAGGTTCATGAGAAACACAAACTAATACTTGATTTTCATTTACATCAAGATGAGCTGGTTTGCGAAAATTAAAAAGAGATCCATAAAACACAATGTTCTCTATTACTACACTGGTATTAGTTAGTAAGTGAATATTTTCACATTCATCAATTAACCATTTTTCACTTTCTGGTAAATGAGCTTTCATCTCTCGTTCATTATTTCCTAAAACAACAATTTTGTGAGTTGCCTTTTGCTTGTTTAACCATTTTCCAAAATTTCTAACAGTCTTTTCATTCCCATTATTCGTAAAATCTCCACAATGAATCAATATATCACATTGAGGAATTGATACAAACCTATGAAAGCCATGTGTGTCTGAGGTGATTACAATATTCAAATTTCTTGAATTACCTTTTTGCTGTACAGACATTTTTTACAAATAATTTTAAGTTAGTTATTTTTAAATTTTATAATTTGACGAAATATTCTCTTGATTTGCTCAAAAAACAAATAGAACTTAAGATACTATTAAAAACATATGATTTTCTCATTATCACAAAATGAAAAAAAAAGATTAAAAAGAAAAGAATGAAACAAAAAAAATTTATGTCAGAAATAATTCGAGATGATCTTACACCAGATTTGACCACCCAGCCAGGGAGTAATACCCTTAAACAAAAAATTACAAATTTCTATACTAAAATTAGTGGACCAACAGAAGAAAATATTATCAATTGTTGTTATAATGGAGATTGTATTGGATTAATGAAATACAAAGACAGTGGAGAAAATTTAGATATTAATGATAAGTGTGGAAATACATTATTACATATTGCTGTCAAAGGTAGACAAGGGGATATGATTCAGTTCCTTGTCAATCTAGGCATGGACATAAATTGTGTGAATGCTGAAGGAATTACACCACTAATGTATGCAATTGAATTAGGATTTGATGATATTGCTTTAGATATTCTTCAAGTTAAATCATTGGATTTAAATCATTGGGATCATATGGGAAGAACTGCACTTCATTATTGTGCATTATATGGAAATGCTGTGATGGCTAATATACTATTAGAAAATGGAATTGATGTTGACAAGTGTGATATTAATGGATATAATGCTTTACACATTTGTTGTGAGTGTAATTGTTTTAATGTTGCTAAAGTATTGTTAAGATGGCACATTGATTTAGAAAAGACAAATAAATATGGATTTATACCATTAGGAACTGCTGTAAATCATCAAAACCGTAACATGGTACGTTTAATTACAGCAGCAATGAGAGGAACTGACCACAAAAACTTTGAACAAAAAGTTAGTGCTATGCTTGATTTGACCTGTGATAAAAATCATTACAATAAGATCATTGAAGAAATGCCACTTCATTTTAAGGGAGGTCAAAATGACTTTGAAGAGATTCGTCCTGAATAATTAGAATTTTGTTTATATATATGGTTATAAAAAGTAAAAAATGGTTACTCTAATTCATAATATTATTAAAATTTTTTGTACTTATAATAGGTTTTATATAATGTAATAATGAGTGAATATTACTAACACTTGACTTCTGTTTTTTTAAACACAAATCTGTAGGTAGTTATTAATAAAATAATAAAAACAAAGAAGAAAACAATAAGAGAGAATTTGTTTTAATTTTTAATTTAAATAATATAAAAAAGAGTATATCTTATTCTTTATTTCTTTAAAGGACATACACGTTTTATTCTTCTTGGGTGGAAATAACATTCGTTCATATTTCCAGGAAAGTCAAAAAGGAAGGAGAAATAGAGTCTAAAAAATAAAATTCACTATATAAAACCACTTATTAGTTTTTAATTAGTTAAGGAGAAATTATTCCAGTTTTTAAAAGATTTAGTTTCTAGTAAAGTATATTAAATAAATTATTATTTGAATAGAAAGGAAAATTAAAATAAAATAGAAGGATATAAAGTGTTATTAGTTTATTTTGTTATAGAAATATATTTTATAAAGTAATAAAAAAATATATAATATTAATTTTTTAGCTACAAAACTATTTTAATCGATTAAAATGGTAGACATAATTAAGAAACAACTAATAGAATCATCTATAATATTCTAGTCTTATAGGATCTGGTTCTATTTAATTCTATTATTCTGAGTATAAAGAAATTGCCTATTTTGATTTAATAAGAACCAATATAAAAAAATAAATAATTGACTTGTTTGTGAAAAAGGTTATTTTAAAGAAAGAAATTAAATTAGTATATTGAAAGTGAAAAAATATTATCAAAAAGATAAATTGAAATATGCCTACATTTATTTGAATAGAATATTCTTTAGAGAACAATAAACACCACCCCTCTTTATTTGAATGAAAACCTAATATAAATTTATTTGAACTTAAATTTTATCAGAAGACATGATTCAATCATTTTCACTATTACTAATCACTATTATTAATGCATTAATTTGTTGGTATTCTTATTTTAATAAATTACCAACTTTAAAATTCTTTAGTAAGCCACCTTTTTGTATCTTTTTATCATTATTTACTTACGATGTTCTTGGTATTTCTTCATGGCCTTTTATTCTTGGATTAGTTTTAAGTTTTCTTGGAGATTTCTTTTTATTGTTCACAGAACAGGTATTATTTTTGATTGGAGCATTTTCATTTTTATTTGCACATGTCTTTTATTCAATTGGTTTTAATGCAACATTATCTGTTTGTTATATTTCTTTCCTTTAACAATATTTTTTATTAATTAAAGTAAAAGAAATGTATGTAAATCTCTAATTCTTTTAGTCTGATGCTCAAATTAATTATCTTTGTTATATTGTTGTTGTATTACCAATTCTTGGGGCACTTATTATATATCGTCTTGCTAATAAAGAACAGAAAGGACCACTTGTTTCTGGATGTTTCCTTTATATGTCTTTTGTTGCTATAGGAATGTTTAATTGTTTTAGAACATTAACAGACCCTTCTTGGAATTTACTTTCATCATTAATATGTTGTAGCAGTTATTTCATTTTTTTCATTAGTGATTTGTTAGTAAGTTTCAATGAATTAGTGAAAACCACCTGGTTAGTTTCTCTGTTAATAATAATAACATACCATATTGCACAAATTGGTATTGTTTGTGGGTTAGTATTAAATATAAATTATGACCATTTAATAGCTTTATTAAACTAAATTGTGCTTTGAATTTAAAAAAAAGTTTTGTTGTTTATTTTGGTTTTTTTTAAAAAAAAAGAAAGAAACATTAAGAAAACAACATCAAAAGTACTAACTGAAGAACTGGTTCATCACAAATTACTAATTTTATAAAGCAATATATAACCCCCACCTATTTTAGTTGTTTGAAACATTTTACTTTTCAAAGAAACAGAACTAATTTATTTATTCTCAAGTCGGATGAATATTGATAGTGTGAAAATTGTAATTCCAATCAATTGTTCTGTTTCTCAGCTGATTAATCAAGTCAACTATGAAATGAATAAACATGGAAATTACCTTTCCTTCACAACAATTCCAAAACAGCTAGAAACTCTTCCACTTTCAGAATTTCTTTGCATAACAAATTTAAAAATAGAAGAAACAATAGAATCTCCAACTGAATCTCCAATTGATAATTCTTCTATTAAAACACAATCCCCAACAATCCCTCAAGAAAAAAATATTAAATTAAAAAAGAAAACAAGAAAGTCTGGGGAGTTTTATCTCCCTCAACAACTCGCTACTTGTCATTATTGTAAGAAAAGAAAACCTGTATCTTTTCAATGTCTCAAATCTCCACCTCATCGTTTTTGTCAAAGTTGTTTGAAAAAAACTAAATGTTCTGATACATGTCCTATTTGTACTGACCGTTGCTGTTGTTCACGTTGTCGAAGTGCTCGTCAATTAAATTAATTTGTTTAAAAAGTATTTTTATTTTTTTTGTTATCAAGATTTTTGAAATAAATTGAGGAAATCAAAGATCTGATAAAAAGTCTGAGAACTTAAAACATTAAAGGATAATTTGTGATTGATAAAATGCCATTGAAAATTACTGTTATCCAATCAGACGTACTTTCGACACTTGAAGAAACACTTCAACACATTTCCTGTTTGATAAAAAATAGTGAAAAGAGTGATCTATATTTATTACCTGAGGGGTTTACAACAGGATTTGATGTTGATTTACCTAAAATCGCACATAAAGAAGCAGGAAAACAAATAGTTTTATGGATGACTGAAATAGCACAAGAAATGAAAGCGGCTATTGTTGGATCAATTTTTGTTGAAGATAATAACAAATATTTTAATAGAATGTATTTTGTAGATGAAACAGGTGTTGTTGCTCATTATAATAAAACTCATTTATTTAAATTAATGGATTATGAAACAAGTCTTACTGCAGGGACAGAAAAGGTAATTGTTTCTTGGAAAGGAGTTAACTTTTTATTATGTATTTGTAACGATATTCGTTTCCCAGCATTTTTAAGAAATCTTAAACTTGAATATGATGTCATTTTATGTTCAATTAATTGTAATGACATATTTAATCATTCTATTCCATTACTATGTGGTGGAAGGGCATGTGAGAATTTATGTTATTGTGTTGTAGCAAACAGAGTTGGTACTGATCATTTGAATTGTAGATATCTAGGTAATTCATGTGCTTTTGATTGTTGGTCAAATCAATTACTAAAAGCTGAAGATAAGCCTGTAGCTGTTTCATGTACTATTGATAAAGAACTTTTGGATAAACTTCGTATCAAATATCCAATTAATCAAGACTTCGATATGTTCCAATTAAATAATCCATATCGTCAAGTTATTTATGAAAAGAAATAATTTGATTTTTAATGAAACTAATTTAATGGTAGACAAGTATATTTTTTTTATTTAAATTATTTTTTATTACTGAAGAACCAACATTATTTTAAATAAAATTAACTTTTCTTTTTTTCTACTATTACTAATCTAACATATTATCAAGTTCAATTTAAATCAATAACTCTTTGTCATATTTCAAAAACCAGTTTTATAAAATGTCTTATTGTTCATTGACATTTATTTATCAATCTATCTCAAGTAACTTTTTTGATTGATAAACCACACATTTACATACTTTTTATTAATTGGTATTTCTTTGTATAAAATACTTTCTTGGTCATAATTTCTTTATGAAAGAAAAATATGATTAGTAGTTTAAAAAAAGAAGTAAATTAAATTATGGTCATATGTTAGTCCATTGAATTAATAATATTTTTAAGGATAATTTCTTGTTATTAACATAATAAAAAAGATGGTACAAGGAAAAATAAAGGTGTTTAAATTGGGAGAAGGCACCTTTTTCATCAAATAAGAATCCTAAACTATTTTGAGGTATATTGGCTAGGTGTATTCGGTTTAGAAATACACTGTTCTAGGGATGGAATTGAATATTTTGAAAGAATACTACTATTTATTAAAACAGTTTGGTTTCTTCCAAATAAGTTTTCAACAGCACTTTGAAAGGAAATCCCAATTTCTATTAAACGTTCCATAGGTACTGTCTCTCCTGAAGTAAGAATAATCGAACTAATTTTAACTAGTTGTTCAGTTAATTTTGCACGTTTTGTTTTTCTTATTGTAAATGAATATCCTAAAGATCTTAAAAGATATAATAATCCATTACAAATTTGAGCTTCACGAGTTCTATTATACTGTTTATTATTCATATTGTCAACAGAAACAGGTTCTTCACTCAAGGTTTCCTTCATAAATTGTGAATTAAGTTTAGCAATTGATGACTGATCATAAGTTGTATTGTTCAACACTACAGTCTCTGGTAGTAACATTTTTATTGTTTGTTTTGTTCGTTTACTTTTTCTGAAAGTAACAATTGCCCCTGCTTTCATTATTAATGTATATATAACGCTATTTGTTACTGTACTTTCGCCATTTCTTGATATTCTTTTTCTATTCCTTAAGGTCTCTTTATCAATAACAGATTTAACTATTGTTTTTCTACTGTAATCATCACTCCTCTCTTCAGACATTTCTATCTCAAAATCCCAGTTCATCTTGGAATTACTTTTTAAAGTTGATTATCTGATTTTATAAGCTATTTTTGTAATATATAACATTAAACCTGATTACTTAAAAATGAATTAATAAAATACTTAACACAAGCACTCCTCCTCACCAATATCTGGGATATATGCTTCGAATTATTTTTTGTAGAGGTATTAAAAAAATAATAGTTATGTACGAATAAATTAGAACTTTTTTAGATACAATTAACTACAACATATTAATAATAATAAGTAAAAGGCGTTTATTCTGTTAGAGGAGTTTATTTGTAATGACGTAAGTTATTTTTAATTAAGAGATATAACCAACGATAAAAAGTTTAGTATTTGTTTTATAAGACAGTATTCTTAATATTTTTATAATGAATTTAAAATAATAACAATATTATTTGAGACATAACAAAAATAGAAAAAAATAACTTATTCTAAGTTATTGATAGATAATGGTCACAAAAAGGATTCTTGTACATATCATGAAATATTTATTTATTGACTATCTAGAGGGTCTTGAAAATAATCAATTAAATATTAGTTTTAAGAATTTGAGTGGAGTCCTAAAGAAGATTAGAATTAGAAAAGATACATTTTATTCATTAAATTTACCAATTAACATTATTCAAGGGAAATTAGAGACTATCAAAGTTATAGTTCAAAGTTTAACACTATCTAGTTAATTATTTTTATTGAAGGAGTAACAGTAAAATGTAAATCACAAAAAAAATTTATTAAATGAAGAAAATGAAAGATTCAAAGAATTAAGAAAAGTTATTAAAGGGGTATGAACATAAAAATGAATTAGACCTACTAAACAATATTGAAATAGTCATTTCTCAAATTACAATAATTTATAATGATATTACAACATCACAATTATTTATTGATAAAATTGTGATAAAAATGGAATTGTTTCAATTCAAAAATATCAGTATTAAATGTCGAATACAAAACATTAATGATAATTCTTATTTATTAAATGCCTCCAATAATATCAATTAAATTATCACCAATATCAATAAGAATTCATCGATGTTATTATCATTTAAATAAAAGTAGTTATTCAACAGTTATACAATTAACTTCACTTTACGTATGTACTCTAAACAAATTAAATACTAGAACTCTTCCTTCATAATCCCCAATTAAAAATCCAAAAGATCTTAGAAATTTGCATTTAAAACAATACAGTTACAATTAATGAATACAATATTTTGAAAAGAATTAGTAGATAAAATTAAATATAAATATATTAATAATCAAATAGATATTATGCTTAAGAGTTCTTAAATATGAACAATTACATTCAGTGAAAGTTATTAAGCAAAGACTTACTTCAAGAGAAATAGCTTATTTAAGAAAATTGGCTTCTCTTCGTTTGAGTACAGAAGAAGAATTTAATAAGAAAAGTAGTTCTTTTTTAGATGCGTTAAAAAATAAAACAACTTATCTCCAAAAGAATTAGAAAAGTTTTACAGTTGAATTGATTTAAACATTTTTAAATAAAATAAAAGAACTGAAGAATTAAATGAAACAATTTCCAATATAATTATTTCAATTGAAGAAATTGATGATACTAAAATTCAAAATATTAATTGGAAAGGAAGTATTAAATAAAACTTTATTCAATTTCAAAGTTGTATTGATAATTTATTATTAACACAAACATATTGCGAATAAATTAAGTTATTATTTAAATTTGACCCAAAATATGATACTGATATTCAAATCTCAATTTCATCAAAACAAATTAATAGAATAAAAACAACGATTATTAAAAATTGATTAAATGGAGTTTTATTAACACAATTAATATTAAATATAATTTCAATTCTCTTCTTATATTAAAATAAACGAACTTTTAAAAACTCTCATTCAACAAAATGAATATCAAAAACAACTTCCCAAAATTACTACTATAATTGACTATGAGCAAATTAGTTTATCTATTAATGGAAAAGATAATAACTTTAAAATAATTATTCCTCTTTTAAAAATTGAAGGATTTAATAATTAAATTATTATTACTATTAATGTAAATACACAATTTAATAATAGTCAGTTGGCTAATTTGAAAATGCTAACTTGTTGTTATTTAATTGAAAGTTATAACGATTTATTTATTAAAGTTCATTGTTTATTGGTGCCAATTCAATGTAATGTTAATATGGGATACTATTAAATATTTATTATCACCTATTAATAAAGTTATTAAATTTAATTCATTACCACTACATGAAACAATCAAAAGTAATAAAGATAAATAAACAAAATCAATTAACTATTCCTTCAGAACATAATTATAATGGTATTTCTCATTATATTAAACAAAAGAAAAATATAAAACTCTCTTTCGAAATTGAGTGTTTTCTTATTTAGTATCAATAAAAACTATTATAAAAGTTTCTTTTAATTCTTTTCTATTTAATTTTGACCTCTTTAGACATATTTTTATTTTCAATTCTTACTTAAACTAATTTCAATTATTTTTAATAGTATTCAAGTTATTGAAACATCAGATCCTTTTATTACTTCTTTTTTAATCTTTTCTAATAAAGAAAATTTAGTTAAAAGAATCAAACACAAATAGTTATTGGAAGTATTTTAATTAATTACCTTCTTTTATATCAAATTAATTAATTTTTCATTACAACCTACAACTGTTCAACTTCCTTTTAAATTATCAATGAATTCTCTCTTAAGTAATTTAGAAATAATTTATGATGGATTTATTAGTTTAT